CACCATACACAAACATATATTATATTGTTGGTCTTGTGACACAACATGGCCAAAGGATTAATAACTCTTCCAAAGCAGGTGTTTATCAGCACCATACACAAACATATATTATATTGTTGGTCTTGTGACACAACATGGCCAAAGGATTAATAACTCTTCCAAAGCAGGTGTTTATCAGCACCATACACAAACATATATTATATTGTTGGTCTTGTGACTCAACTTGGCCAAAGGATTAATAACTCTTCCAAAGCAGGTGTTTATCAGCACCATACACAAACATATATTATATTGTTGGCCTTGTGATTCAACATGGCCTTATTAATCCTTTCACCTGCTTTGGAAGAGTTTGTGTATGGTGCTGATAAAACAAGACCAACAATATAATATATGGGCCGTGTTGAAGTCTTATTAATCCTTTCTCTTCCATAGTGCTGGAGATTTTTTGCTATTCTTCGGACTTTTCTAATACTTCTGTGATAGTTCATAGTGTTAATTTACTTCGAAACTGTATGAAAGTATTTCAAATTAATTATTTACTTCTGTTGATTTAAGAGTATATGCCCTAAGCTAATCAGTTTCTAGTAATTAAGATATTAAAAGTTATATTTCATCATTCTGTCCCTAGAATACTTTCCTGATTTTAAGTTATACAAAACAGTGCTTTTGTCTTTATCTGCACAGATAATGCAATCAAAGGTTTATTTTAAACATTGTTTTAATTGATGCGAGAACAAAAAAAATGGAAGGAAACACAAAGCTATGACCCTCTAATTTGTAAAGTAATAGGCAAATCATCAATTTTAACTATACACTTATACATGTCAAAATCTTCAAATTAATTTTGAAAAATTCATAGAAAAGTATGGTATATTTAAAGGATACTTTGCAAATATACAAGAAACTTTATGCATCATAGTTTTAATTCCCATTCTACATTGTAAAGACATAAATGGAAGAGACTGTAAAACTGATCATAATTCTGGTTAAATTTATGATATTTTACACATACTGAACTCCATTCTGTCCTTAGCGTTTCTTTTCAGAAGTTTCAACAGTAGATCTGCAAGGTGTGGTGAAGTACAAGCTGGAATTCTAGAAGATATAACGAAACATTACACTAAAACAAAATACAAAGGCTTAGGAAATTAAATAGCATACATTTTATATCTGGTAAATAAAACCACTACACAATGAAATACTTATCTTTGTATAATTGATGATTAGATAATAAAAACATACACTACATAAACCATAAAATCTTCATGTTTTATGTAGTAGAAACAGATAACATAAACACTACAGAAACCTTAATATTTTATGTAATAGAAACAGATAACATAAACACTACAGGAACCTTAATATTTTATGTAATAGAAACAGATAACATAAACACTACAGGAACCTTAATATTTTATGTAATAGAAACAGATAACATAAACACTACAGAAACCTTAATATTTTATGTAGTAGACACAGATAACAACATTACTGGAATATTGGACATTTATAAAAATCAACGTAAACATTAACAAGGAAATTTTTTGACCAGTAATTTTGTCCCGACTTTCCTTCTGTGATTGTTGATTATTTGTTTCAGGATTAAAATACCAGGAATCAAAAACAAACTTTTGTTAATGTTTTTATAACAGGTAAAGCTTTATATTCTCAATGGTTAAATCTAAGATCTCTTAATAGAAAAGCTTCAGATTGATTAATTTAATGGTTTTATTAACAAAATTTTAAAAGTTAATGTATGTTTATTAGCACAGTAAAGAAAGAAATGGGAAGAACACAATATACAATACTCCATGTTCCTGTTATTTACAAACCAGGTCAGTGTTAATACACTGACTGTGCTACTTGTTTTATGATGTATATCTTGATATAAATTATGAAACTACCACTGAAACATTAAATAGTACAAACATAACCTACAAAATTTACAGAAAAGACAAATGAATCTGAAAACAGAAATTTGAAACTCTTACTTTGGAGACAGGGTGGTTTTCATCTCATAGAACTGTTTTAAAGCTTGAGGGCTCTGTGCCTGGAATAATTATATGACATGCAACTTTTATAAACATGAAAGTAAGTAAAACTGCTAAAAAAAACAACTTGTTAACCATTATTTTAAAGCGTATTACTCTGCGACTAAGGACTTCTTTCGTTTATTCCTATAAATATTTCTCAAAACGAACTTAGTAACCAGAATAGGCATCTTATATGTGCTTACCTGAAAAGGTGCTTTTCCTGTCAAACACTGATAAACAATTGTGCCAATGCTCCATAAGTCTGCCTTAGCATCATACTGTAAAGACATGATAACTTCGGGGGCCTAATATGTGAAATTATTCAAGCATTAGTTTCGCAAGGTTCCTTTCTCCAAAATTTTATAATAAATACACACAAAAAATAAATTCATAATATGGGTGATAAATATTAGGAAGAGACTTTCTTCAAAGTTATTTTTACTTCACTCAAAAGGTTTTAGACACAACTACAGCAACCAAGTGTTTCTGTTTATTAACTGTCAGTCTTTACATTGGAACACTTAACAGCAACCATCTTCAGCTGTTTCATTGGATTAACTGTCAGTCTTTAAACTGAAACACTTGACAGCAACAATCTTTGGCTATTTCACTTTATTAACTGTCAGATTTTAGACTCAAACAATGACAGTAACCATCTTCAGCTGTCTCATTTTATTAACTGTCACTCTTTAGAATCAAACAATGACAGTAACCATCTTCAGCTATTTCACTTTATTAACTGTTAGTCTTTAAACTGAAATGCTTGACAACAACCATCTTCAGCTACTTAAGTTTATTAACTGTCAGTCTTTAAGTTCAAACACTTGACAGCAACCATCTTCAGCTGTGTCACTTTATTAAATGTCAATCTTTAGATTCAAATGCTTCACAGAAACCACCTTCAGCTATTTATATTTATTAACTGTAGACTAAGTTCAAACACTTGACAGTAACCATTTTTAGTTGTGTCACTTTATTAACTGTCAGTTTTCAAGTTCAAATACTTGACAGCAACCATGTTGTGTCACTTTATTAAATTTCAGTCGTTAAATTCAAACAGTAGCAATCCTTATTTTCTTTCTTTTTTTACTGAAACATCAAACTCAGTAAACTATATTTGAAACAGACTAACAACAGTGAAATCTTTCATAGCAACTTTATTGTAAAAAAAAGAAAAAGGAAAAATACTACGAATTAAACAAAACTGAAACCTACTGCCCAGGGATGACTAGCTTACCATATACATGGGTGAACCACACAAGGTTGCAGCCATTATTCCATCATGCAAAAAACGTGCAAAACCAAAGTCTGCTATTTTCAAGTGCATCTTACTTGGTGGTGGGTTAGGCCTACCGTCGTGGCATAGCAGGATATTCTGAGGTTTCAAATCTCTATGTACAATACCTTTAGCATTCAAGGCTTTCATTGCAGCAGCTATTAAAATAAAAACAGTCCCAAAATTAGTATTAGTAATTCTCAACTGTTTTTTTCACCCATAAGGAATGAAGTAAAACATTTTGAAAACTGGTTTCATAGCAACTGTATATAACTTATCAGACATTACAATACGATCATAATTACATTTATAATTTTGAAGATTACCAGGTACAATTCATTAAAATTAATTTACCAAATGAAAAGAAAAGAAACTTCTCATACACTCGTAAAAAAACGTGATAAGAGGGTTTTATAATGATTAATATTTTAAGACAAGTTTTATTGACATAATATTATATTTCAATAGCTTAGTAATTCAAATTATAACTTATAAGATTTCTTAAGCCTAATCATAAATACAGTCCATAATGGTATTGGTTGAATACAAAGTTTCAGTGTAATGTAACTCAAGTGTATAAGTTAAAGTCTTAGCATAAGAAATCGTAAACTGTCTTAGAATTGTACAATACAAAAAAATTGTGTATTTTAAAAACATTGTCTTACAATTTTATTACACAGAAAACTGTATACTTCAAAGACATCGTCTTACAACTGCTCGGTTCAAAAATCTGTATATTCAAAATATTCTTTTAAAAATTCTCCACTATAAACAACAGTGCATTTTAAAATAGTATTTTACAGTATCTCAGTATAAGCAATTATATACTTAAAAATACTGTCTTAGTTTCCCAAGACAAATACCTATATAAAATAATATCTCCCAGTACTGTCTCATAATCTCCTAGTACAAATAATTATGTACCTCAAAACATTGTCTTACAGTCTTCCTGGACAAATAATTATGGACTTTAAAGTACTTGTTCATAATTTCCTAGAACAGCAATTCTCAAAATTTAGTAACCCAAGAATATCTTTTAATTAAAATTTTTGTGGACCCCCAAACCAATTTATGTTTTTTGTTGTTTTTTTTTTAAATATTTGTACATGAAAAGCTGTATTCCAAAATTAAATGCTTTAATTCCTATAAATTATATTATTTTTAATATTTTTATGAAATTTCGGACATTACTCTAGACTCCAGTTTGTGAGAAATAATCTAATCTAACAGTAAATTAATGTTAACCCATTCAGTTTCTAAATATTTACCAATGTATATCTCTATTTATAATTTGTATAGTTTTATAAAATTTATTCTTGTTCCGTGTTGCATTTTAATGTCCAGTATCTTTAACAGTTTTACCACGTTTTTTGAAACAGAGAAACATGCTTCATAACCGCAGCTCGTTCTCCATCAATCAATATACTAAACGGTTGTTTCGTCATGGGTAAAGTACCAGTGACTCACCTATCTGACGTAAGAACAAATAAATGGTATCTTCACTCAGGGTGCCTTTTGCTAGAAAAATCACAAGAGAAAATGTACTTGTAAAACATTTAGTGAAATAATAACGAAAACATTTCATCTTTCCATAGGGGGTAAAAAAGTTTATGAAACAAAGTATGTTTCACAAATTAACGAAGCAGTCTCGTGTAGGAGACGAAATGTTTGAACTAGGTTTATAGAAGGCACATTATGCTTGACATTGAATCTTCTACAAATAATAAATCTAATCTATTCAGACTCTCTACCTGCCTTTAAGGCTGAAGATCGTTGAAACGTAGGAATTTCAGTCTTTAGTTGAAAAAAAAATGTTTTCTGTTTAAGAATGATATTACTTACTTATAAACCCATTCCTGCTGTTTTTACTTTCTGTTTTGGATAACACTAAATCAAAGGTTCATTCAAACGAAGAGTAACTAACACAGCTGACAGATACACATATTTCTTGGAATATTTGAAAACTCCCTCTTTCTATCTACTTTAAATCCTGAATGTTATTCTCACGGTGAGATATAAAATAAATATTTTCAAGCGTATTTGCTGTTAAGAAAACGCGTAGGTTAAAAAAAATCAGAGATAAATTACAAAACCATATAACACGAGGGGTTTAGAAAGGTTTGCCCCTGGTCAAGAAAGGCCTACCTTTCAAAAGTGCTCAGTTATAGGGTTTTGTATGGCCATTTGATCCCATCATTCAAATATAATTTAAAAATGACAACACCACTTAATAAAAAAAACATTTGTTTTTAGTATTAATCAGTAGACTTACATTATACGCTGAATACTCAATGTGGCTAAATCTATTTTATTTTACACCAGGGGAAAAATAAAACATTTCTGTTAAATACTACCTGAATACTCAAAGAAACGAACACATGGAAACCCTAACATTCAGGTACAACAACGAGCACAAAGCATACATTACTCTGAAATAATTCAATCACCATTGTTACTGCCAGCTTTAAAAATTCAAAGGCCAATTACACAGGCCTGCGAATTTAAACGTCATAAACGTTGTTTTTGGTTTTAATAACGGATTTTCCATAGTTAGCTACGTAAATTTCGAAAATAATATAAATTTTTTTTTCTATCACGTAAGAATTTTTTACAAATAGGGAAGACAAAAACTCTTACTTAGATCAAATTATTATTTCGTTTACCACAATGAATACTTTTTATTATTACGTTTGTTAACAAAAATACAAACAAACTGAAGAAAAGGGAAGAACATTGATATTAAACGAATATGCATCCTCATTCATCCTGATTTTTTTTCTGAGGGGGGGGGGGATCTACGTCTTTTAGTCTCAAAACTACGTGTTGTGGTCTTTTTTTTTATGCATTGCGTTATGACGTTTTGTGAAAAATCTGTACGTGATTGAGAAAAATGGATACAATTTTCGGATTCAGCGTACAGGGATTACTGTAGAACATGTAAACATTTCAAGACAATAAAACAATCGTAGGCCTGTTTCATTATTTCAATATTATGTAAATCACTGCTTACCATCGTAGGCCTGTTTTATTATTTCAATATTATGTAAATCACTGCTTACCATCGTAGGCCTGTTTTATTATTTCAATATTATGTAAATCACTGCTTACCATCGTAGGCCTGTTTTATTATTTCAATATTATGTAAATCACTGTTTACCATCGTAAGCCTGTTTTATTATTTCAATATTATGTAAGTCACTGCTTACCGTTCAAATAGTCTGCCAAATCACCTCCATTGCAATACTGAAATGAAAAATGCGAAATTTTTAAAGAATATTATGAACAACTATTAATTACAGTAAATGTGTTATTTTATAATTATAACGTATATGTAAAACACCGTTAAATAGTTACTTTGAAAAAAAAACAAAAAAAAACTTTCAGCCCGCGAATTTATAAACAGAATAGAAACAAGCACCCTGTCTGTTTCTTGTCAAAACACAAAACTTCATATGTAAAAAAAAACAGAAGTTATGTAAACGTGGTGGGTAGTTTCATGACACCAATAACAAACAATCTGGTATTTCCAACGAAAGTCGGTTAAACACGGCGAAAATAAAGACCACAGAATTCAAGCAAAATGTACACATAACGCAAGAGGGCGTTGTTCGCCTTGCACGTGCCGGATTATAAAGATTAAAATTTAATTGTCAAACGTACAAAAAAAAAAATAATTAAAAATAGGTGTGATACTATGTATTATTTCACGTCACTTCAAAAAATATGTAGTTAGTGTATCGGCCTCGCTCAAAATACACCGAAGATTCACATCTTCAAACCTCAAACTCATAATATACGGATTATTTGCTTCTTCACTAGCATTTATTTTATAGTTAATCTGAAAAAAAATAAAAACAAACATTCAGGGTTAGAGATTCGGTTTATTATTTAATTGTTACACGTGCTTTATAATTCCTTTATAAATTGCTACCAAAACATTACTTTTAACTTTTCGTACAGCAATACATACGTGGTCATTCAACGTGCATTTAAAAACGCTATATATATTTGCCAACTGAAACTGAAGTTTCAGTAAATAGTGAAGGGTTATACGACCCCCCCCCCGTGACTTCGAGACCCCTAATGAAAAGAGATTTGATGACTAATCAATTTTGCTGAATCATGGGTCTGACGTACGTACCGAAAAGTTCGAGATGCATGCTTCCAATTGTGGCTAAGTAATAACAGTCACAGTCAATCCCGCTATCCGGTTAATAGTATTTAAGATGTACATTGTGTGTGTGCATGGGAGGGGCGTTGCTGACGGTGAGCAGTCCTCCTTCTAGTGAGCATTTCTTAAGTAGTTTGGCTTGGTTTTTGTTAAGAGTTGATGAATAAATGTATTTACCAGAATATTCTTCATTTTTTGGATCAATTGTTACTAGGCCTGTATATATGAGGTGCAATAAGGCGTCACGTATTAAAAAATGACGAAGTTAAATGATAATTGTGTCTTTTTACACAATAAGAGTGCTTTGCGCTTGACTTTTGACTAATGTGAGCGTTGCTCCAAAAATCGGTCACTGTCCGTAAACAACTGAAGTCATTTGGTCAATCGTACTAAATAAAAAAACAACAACTTTAAATTGAGAAAAGATATCTCGGTTAAAAAACAAACAAACGTAAACTAATATTGAATCAGGGGATTTTTCCCAGTGTGCAGTTAATCACAAACTGTGCATCTGTAAAAATATTTGAGCAGTTGAAAATTCACCTCCATAAGTACGTTTAATTAGATAAATATTAAAACACATATTTAAGATTATAAACTTCCATTCCTGAGTTGATAAATAAATATATTTACTAGAATATTCTTGATCTTTTGGATCATTTGTTAGTAGGCCTGAATATATGAGGTGTAATAAGTTGTCATGTAATAAAAAATGAAGTTAAAATATAATTGTGCAGTTAAAAAATCCTTGGAAAAGTTCTATTGATTTTATTTTTCAAAGTTGTTACACGAATTATTTTGAAGGAAAGAACAAAGATCACAGAGGTTAAATTGACCTCGGACGACATATCTTGAAGACCTTGGGTCAATCTCAAGGAGAACGAAAAGACTGCTCACAAATGCACGTGCAAATCAGCTGACAGAGTCGTGCATATAGAACGCTTGAAGTCTAGGGCAACGAACAGGCCGAAATTACACTACAAACAGAACTCGTTACTGTTGCCAGGCTTCATTTTTCCTGCACGTGGTTTAAACTCGAGAATCTCCGGTGGAGATATTAAAATCATTTGTATTTATTGGAAGCAACTTTCTCCTTCTAGTGATAACTTGTTTGTTGTTAAGCACAAAGCTACACAATGGGCAATCTGTGCTGTGCTCACCACAGGTATCGAAACCCGATTTCTAGCGTTATAAGTCCGCAGACATACCGCTGTGCCACTGGGGGCAGAAATTAATTGTTTGTTTGTTTGTAATTAAGCACAAGGCTACACAATGGGCAATTTGTGCTGTGCCCACCACAGGTATCGAAACCCGATTTCTAGCGTTATAAGTCCGCAGACATACCGCTGTGCTACTGGGGAGGATACATACTTTATATATGTATATATGGCTACGAGCTTACAAATGCTATCCCCTTTTTATTATACGACACAAGCAATATGTAGCGAATTATTTCTCCGTGATGGATTGTTGTAAACTAGAGAAACAAAATACTTCGGTGTTACACACACACACACGAGTATAAAGAATTACACACAAACAACAGGTGCCCGTAGTTTTATAATAAAAAAAGAGAACATGTAACGTCGACAATCCTTTCTTGCTCTTACCGTTATGATTTAGTTATTTTCCACCCCTTGAAGCAGGCGGTAAAACGAACAACGAACTGAAGAATTGTGTTTTTTTTTCCTGTAACTGAAAGGATGATAAGTTTTAAAAACGTAAGTTGTTTGATCGTACGTAATTCTGCTAGGATACAGACAATAAGAACGTAGATATGAAATCATGTTTGTCAGTATGAATTGGTGTCAGCTTCCGTATCGGGATTTAGGTTTTTAAAGACCGGGGAGGGTCAGGTTTGTGTGACCTCTTCCTCCCTCCTGTACTGTGGTTTAAGGTTGCTGATGAACGTGGATATCGATAGGTCACGAGGGCAATGTCCATGTGGGTATCGACATTTACATTCTTGTGTTGTGTATACCATCACTAATGTTCAGTATTATAGAGTTTAGCATATAACAAACAACACATTTCACCAGTTCTAATAATAATTCGTAAACACGTTACATAAAATACCCTTTAAATGTTGTCAACTTAATCTCAAACTAATGCAAGTTTTTCGGTCTAGTGTTAGGTGGCCTGATTAAATCCTTATTTCTAAACTATATGTTAATTAATTGGCGAGAGGTACTTAGGTCTACTTTCATCACGTATGTTGTAGCGATATAGTTCGCATAATGGGTCGTTCTTTTGCTAGTGATTCGCAAATTTATTTAACAAATTATGTAAGAGTCTAGCGGCGATGTTTGCGTAGTTGTGCATGAATTTGGATGACGTGTTGTGGTTAGTATGGGAGTTTTGTATTGTTTGGTTTGAATTTCGCGAGGGCTATCTGCTCTAGTCGTTCCTGATTTAGCACCCACCACCAACTCTTGGGCTACTCTTTTACCAAAGATTGGGACGGGGATTCGAACCCGCGACCCTCAGATTGCGAGACAAACGCTCTAACCACCTTGTCATGTGGGGCCCGGAAGAACTGTAACTCTATAATCGTTTATAAACAGCAAGAATGTTAGCGTACTATAGCCCTCTAACTGTTTATAAACAGCAAGAAAGTTAGCAAATTGTACCCCAATAATTGATTATAAACAGAAAATTATGAAACTGTAACCCTCTAATTGATTATAAACAGAAATAATGTTAGCAAACTGTAACCCTCCAATTGTTTATAAACAGCAAGAATGTTAGCAAATTGTAACCCTGTAATTGATTATAAACATAAAATTAGGAAACTGTAAGCCTGTAATTGTTTATAAACAGCTAGAAAACAGTAGCTATTTCTTACTTATGAATGGTAAAATAAAGATTGCTGATAATATGATACACACACACACACATATGTACAGACACAAATGCTGTCTGGTACCGATACACCAAACACACAAAGACAGACTTGTCTCTAGCACGCCCATCCTGTCAAAGAAGCGCGTGCAATCAAACGAGCTCCCACATGTACAATCAAACCTTCGCTGCTCTCATACCTTACTATTGAATTGTCGACTGTTAAGTTCACGATACATGTAACAAACAGGCATCACCTTACTCTTAAAGAAGGGTGGGGAGGAAGAGAAACACTCGTCCACCTTCGAATGAATCGGATCCTTCTTCCAAGGACTCCGAGTAGCTCACCTTCAGGACACTTGCAGGTCATCTGGAATACCTAACCCTTTTCTCAATTCACTACATGTAGGTTTGGTCCAATAATACCGTGTTTTTAAAGCCTAAGTTGATATTCAGCAAGTATATATAAATGTATTTGATTACACAGTCTACTCAGACTTTAAAATGTTCAGCCACGGGTTTAAAAATGTGTATATACTCGTGTAGTGTCTCAATCTCACATTTGTATTTCAATATAACAATGAAGTACGATTCGTCTTTCTTTTGCGAGCTGTATGTGGCAGCGCCGTCTGGTGTCTTAATCCCACATTTTTAGTACATATCACAATAAAATACGGTTTATCTTTCCCTTGTGAGCTATATGTGGCAGCGCCGTCTGGTGTGTTAATCCCACATTTTTAGTTCATATCACAATAAAATACGGTTTATCTTTTCATAGTGAGCTGTATGTGGCAGCGCCGTCTGATTTCGCAATCCCACATTTTTAGTTTAATATAACAATAAAACGAGGTTTATCATTCCTTAATGAACCGTATACGGCAGCACTGTCGGTCTTCATATTTCTGCTTCAAAATCTTTGGTATTTTATAAAACTTTTTTTTCTTCAGTTTCAATCTAGGAATACATACACCCTAGCTATCTATCCAATTAATCAATCAGTTTTCAAAGGGTTCTCTACCAATACATTTCTAATAATGCATGTTATTATAAATTGATTTTTACAAATGCAGTATTTGTCTCATTATATTTATCACGCTTTACTATTTCTCGTTAACTTGTAAAACTTATTTCAATATAAATACATTTTTAATTTTGTTTTCTAGGTTGTTTCAATAGTTTGAAACATGTCTATACTTCCAAAACGTTTATATCTTTATTTGTTAGAATTATT